TAGACAATGGAAGCCCCACTGTGGGTATGAAAGGTAACAGCCAATAGGCTTGTAGCCTGAATGTAATGAAAAGGAAAAGGAGACTTGCTTCTTTCTGTTTGCTCTGCCATGGACTGTCTCTCCTCTGTGATGCCCCTCTGCCACACCCTCCTGCCTTGGAGCCAGCCACCATGGTCTGAAACCTCTACAAACTGTGCTAAAATATGCTTCTCTTCCTTTAACTTGTAGGTGTCGGGTTTTTTTGTCTTAGCAATGAGAAAATAACTGAGACATCCTATAGTCAAAGGCAAGCAACCTTTTAAAACTTTCTAAGTTCACATTTTATAATGAAACCTGCTACAAGTTATCCTTTCCTACTCTCTCCCTGTTTTTATCCTTTGTTAGTTCATTCACATTATTTCTGGAGTCCCACTGATGTGTAAGGGAAAAGATGCTTCACAAACACAATAATGGTGGGGACATTTTATGTGTTAGTGACACAAGCGATGAAGAAGTGTTCACGCTGCCTTGTATTTGTGTGCCTCCCCAGCGTGGGTCCTGGAAAGGCCATGTCTGATCATTCATTTTTAATTTATTTTATTTTATTGATTTTTTATTTTTAAATTTTATTTTAAAGAGAAAAAATAAAACAATTTCAAAACAAGATAATAGAGTAACAATGGTTAATACATCATGCATTGTCATCTTTAAATTAGTTACTCAGAGTACAAGATACAGGCACTTAATTGTCCAAACAATATTAGCATAAACCTTCCTTTTCAATGAATTAAGAAAAACTAGTAGTATAACTATCTTAACTGTCATATATTATGTATTTTTCCTTTTCCCTTCCTTTTTTTCTGTTTCCCCATCCCAGTTTCTCTTTCCTTTTGAACAATTTCTTCTTATTTCACAATTGCCATTGTACGTTTTTGATCTTATTTACTCTTTCAGCTTTTCACACTATGGAGACAATATGATGTTTACACATGTGAGTTTGATTTATTTCACTTATAGTATGGTCTCAAGTTGCATCCATTTACCTATGAAAGTCTCAAGTGTATTCTTCTTTATGGCTGAGTAGTACTACTCCATTGTATAAAAAGACTACATTTTTTT